GGGGCGCTGTATTGTTTACCCAGCGTCACGCACTAAAATTAGAGCGTAAAATCGCCGACCCGAACCACCATTAGACCGGTATTTGGGTTCGATTGTATGATATTACAGATAGGCCGAAGTCGGTGTACAGTTAGTTACAGTTAACTGTGCATTGTCAGGTTAACTCTTGGTGTACGTCTGCAGTGCATGCTGGTACGCGTAAAAAGGAATAGCACCGCGCGGGGTGGTCCCTGGTCGAACGGCAATTCTTGAAAGGTCGAGTTCCCGAGCGCGCAGCTAGCACTTTGTATTGTGGTCGGAAGAATTAAACGGGCCCCGTAACTGGGCGGGCCAACGCGATTTCAAACAGGGGGAGTTTTACCAAACGGGGCGCGCGCGCCCCGTTCTGCGGCAACGTGAGGGAGAACCCCTAGACTGGTAACTCGCTCCCCGACGCCATCGATTACTCGACCTATACGCCGAGTCTTAGGTAACTAAACGCGAGAGGGAGCGAGTACCAGGTCTATCATGGTTCGAACGTCGGCTAAATTAGTGGATAGCTTAACCAATATGTACTTAAATTCCGCATTCGTGAAACAGATGTTTTGAGTAATCGATTAACTAAAGTCATAATTACGGAAGTTAAGTATGATGTAGTGATTGTCATCAGAACTTAAAGTTAATACGCTTCGTGAAACACGGGCCCCTGCTATTGCAGTTGGCCACGCAGATAATTGATGAATTAGAATAGTGGCCACGTCACACCCCAGTGCATGCATTAGATGGGCTGCCCCATGTTTTTGCCCATACAGCACGCAAGGCATCTCAACGGTTCATTAAAACAGGGTGTGCCTAGATACAGGATGCGTAACTAGCGGTGCTCAGGGTTCTCCCTACGTTGGCGCAACACGGGGCGCGCGCCCGCCCGTTTGGGAAAAGTTTTTTTTTATTTTCTTTATCTCCCCCCTGTTTCAATCGTTGGCGCCGCCGTTAAATACCTCACGCCCGATTAAATCTAACCACAAGTAAAAGTTTGGCCAGCGGGGGAATCGCCTGCGTCAAGAATTCCAGCGCATTCCGACCAGGACACCCGGACGGCGTCGTATTTTTACCCCTGCCCCCAGCACGCAGACAATACAAAGTACCACACAGCAGCCCGTCCCATCACCACGCCCCCCCCCCAACACTCAAGCTGTACAGCCGACTGGTCTATCTTACGTAAGTATACACGCAGAACCCCAAACTAGCCGTCCTATGGTAATGTGGTGGCGCCGAATTGTTACGGGCATTAATTAGCTCGCCGTACGGTAAAAAAAACCACGCCCAACCCGACAACAACCTCCTAGTTTCCCGCCCTCCCCCCTCCCCCTCCCCTCCCCCTGCCCCGTCGCCCTCCCCCGCCTGTTTGAAATCTTCCATCATGGGGAGCGAACCCCTGGTGCTACCACATACAGACTGACTGGCTTATAAGAACAATAATCATGATTTAAGGAGCGTAAAACCTTGTTTCCAACAAACATTTTCGCCTTGGCAATCTGAAACTATGCAACTGTACCTCACAATCCACAATCGCCAAAAGCAAGCTTGCAATCCTTTGATTAACAGTTCAACAAATCCATGTTTACCCTCTTGGAGGCCAAAAGGTTAGCTCCGAACACTTACTCTTCAGCATGTCAGCAGAAAAGTGAAACCATTTCATGGTCGCTTCTCAATAAAGCCTAAAAGCAGGTCAGCCCGCTGAAAACAAAAAAGTTTATCCAATCGCTCCGTCAAGACCATGTCCTCAGAAAATGTCTAAAATCTGCCCCTGTGGCCCCATTGACCTATTGAACTGTGACCTCCCAACCTTTTTGGCACAGTGATGGCCTTTCTCGCTACCATGATGGCTATAAAAACAGCCGACTATCATCGAGCCTAGGTCGAGCGCGTTTAGAATTTGTGCACGGGGCAATTCGCATTCCCTATACCTTAAGTTCACAGGTGGGAATGTTCCCCCTTCTTTTTACATCACCACCTGTTGACCTTTGACCTTTTGACACCAGCCAGGCTTCGACATTCCCCACTCGTTTAAGCGCATCCCCCCCCGACGTCCCGAATATCATGGACCGTAACGTCAAGCGGTTAATGTGACTGTGACCGCGGAGCACCGGACGACCTCGCATCGATTCTACAAGCTGCATCGACTATGTCCCAGATGAGGCTAATAAAAAACATTTATCGGATCGGATCGGGCTGTAGGGTGTTGGGAGGCCATCTAACGCAAGCACAATATTCCTAAATTTAACATATATTTCTCACCAAATTGCCCTATTTCCTCCCTATTTTTTTCACATCTGAAATTCTAATATTCAGCTATTTTTGAGCCGTCACTTGTATACTTGACGCCCTGAAACTCCTATACTTTGAGAATAAAAGTCTTATATTTCCCATAATTTGAATGATCAAAATGTGCTGGAGGCATTAGCCGCTCCTTATATATACTCATTGCAGAGCGAGACCGGGTACACAGATGGCGTTGCGCAAAAAGATGCGTCTGTTCACCCCGACCCGCCGAAAGCGGTTAGCCGCGCACTTCTGCGCGGGACTGGGCGCACGCGACCGCCGGTGTTGTAATGTACCATCTCGCGCATCCAAGTCCCTGCCACCCATCACCCGCTATACCCCGAATTCGGCGCGCCGAAAAGGCGGGTCGCGCGACATGCGTCAGTAGCGCGCAGCCTAACATCCGCGCAGTTTCGGGGACACGTACAATCGGCATCGGCGACATCTGGCGTTTGAGGGGGTGCCTTTCCCGATTAACGATGGACCACGCGTTTGTAGGCAGTCGCTCCCGAGCCGTCGTACCGCCACCTGCCGTATTTTCGTACCCTTATCTGGCGTGCTCCCACTCTCTTTCATCTCTCGTCTCCTGGGCCCAGCCTCCGCGCGCGCCGCGCGGCTCCGACCCGCTGGGCCGCCGCGGCACGCGCCGGCCCCGGCCGGCCCCCCGTCCCGCCGATCCCATCGCAGACGCATGGACGGGGCCACGACCGAGCGACCCCCGCGCCAGAGCGCAGCACCGCGCGCCGCGGCCGCGGGGCCCCGGCCCACGCCGCCACCCGCGCGCCGAGCGCCCACCAGCCGCGCGGCGCCCGGGGCGAGATACGAAGCGACTCCGACGCCAAGAGCGACCGCCGCCGACGAGAGAGGCCGGACCGAGACCCAAGAGCGAGGGCCCGCCCAGCGCCCGAGCCAGCACCCGCGCCCCCGGCGAAGCCCGCCGGGTGACTGTCTTACATGCCTCGTGGATCTCCCATGCGTCGTCCCCAAACTACCCGGACGCCCACCGATACTAACTGCTCGCCCGACGCAGGATCCCGCACCGGCCCCAGGGACGTGGTTATAAATAAGGTATAGTCTACTATACGTCAATGCGAATCCACAGTGCTCTGCCGCAGCAGGCACACACCACGAACAACAGCATGCCCTTGCACGCGTTTGTAATAAAATCGTAATGGCTAGAATAAAATAACAAAATCTATTTACATACGAAACAGTCAGCCGCGCGCGCATAAACTCCCCGAGCCAAGTTTGTTGGCATATCGCAATTTGACCGTCGCCCGGCGCGCCGCCACTGTGAGCGCGGCGGAGGAGGGAGCTGGAATTCCGCGCTCCCGCGGTCCTTCGTAAAAAAACATGTTGCATATCATATATTTGTGTGTCAGTGTGGCCGGCCGTATTTAGGATAGCTACGTGTAAAAAGACTGCCAGCGCGCCACGCCAGCATCGTTGCTCGCCGCACCCGAGTCGTGCCGTTCCGCCGACACCGGGCCAGCCGCGGGGTCAAGAGCTTATAAAAACCCTTGCACGTACGGAGCCAGGGCACTTCTTGAGATAGACTTACGCATCCTAGACCGCGCCAGCCCGACGTGGAGCGCCGTAACACCGGCATTCGTTCTAAAACACCTCTGTGATAGACGTAAACGCTAATACCTCGCAGGAAGCGCACGTCATCCGCGTAGCGGCCCCATGAGGCCGAGAGCGTCGTCATCTGCTGGGACTTCGCCACAGCATTTCTTGCGTAGAGCCACCCTACGTCTTACGCCATGAGGCCCGCCACCAGCCTACCAAAAAAAGTTTAGGGGCCGTTTGGAGATGGCCTCAAGCCGTCCATCCCGAAATGTCGGTTGGATTGCGCCCAGTTTTCGCGGAGTGCGTTTTCAGACCCCTGTCTCAGATATCTGTCTAAGGGAACAAAAAGGGGGCGGCGTATTCGCGTTGGGGCGCAAAAACTGGGGCCGCAAGTCCGTCAAGAGTAGATAATAACACACGGTTTACAAATCATTTGTGCCCCGATAGGGTTGAGAGACAATCTAAATTTCGAATTTTGATCTCGTGAGGAACCGCGAGACGCGCTCAGTTATTGTGATCGCAACACAAGAAATTGACATACTATCTTACATAAGTAATAATACAATAACAACAATATTCTCTGTAGTAGTTTGCAGTAAGTATCACATTACACGCGCACAGGTAATCAAGTACATTAAACCCCTATCGGGCCACGAATGATTTGGAAATCGTTCGTTGCTAAATATTGGCACCACTATAGCTTCAGAAATTGTCTTGACAGGTCACAACAAGGTGCCATTTTAGCGGTAAATTGATCGAATTCAGCTCGTGCAAGATTACAATTTACAGCAATACGCTAGCAAATATATGTAAACGAATATCAGTACCACTAAGGTGAGTAATTAGTGGTCATAATAAGCTGAGGAACGTATACACTTGCTTCTTTATTGCTCTTGTGTTATTATTTACTCTTGATACTCATATTGACTCAAAATGACATATCATTATCATATTTCATTTCAAAGTACACTACAGCCAGGGTTGTGTCAAAATATTTATAAAAAATACTATTACTTAACTCAAATGTACCCATGACACTTTTCGGTATAAGCTTTGCTCTTTTCCCTAGAGTACAGTCAGCATTTTTTTTAAAGCTATACTGTAGCTCATTCGTTTATCATTTTCGCTTGCAGCTTTGCCGATATTCCAGCATAATCGAGGGCATCTCCCGATCGAGTTCTTTGGACATCCATTCATAATAGAATCCTCAGAAACGAAACATTGCCTTCATGGATCTGCCAAGGTATGGTTATGGGAGCTACTCATGCGTGATGATTATAAAATACTCATCAGTATCAGATTAATGATAAGGTATCCTGTAGTTTAGTTTCCTATAATCAGGCGAAAACCTTAGGGGAAAACTCTTTAGGGGAGAATTATTATTCGAGATAGCTGAAATTCGACTTGTGAATTTCGACATAGACTCATAGGGAAAGATCGAGACTTTTGTGGAGCTTCGACTTGGCCGATTATTCGACTTATGCGATTTCGACTTAGGCAAGGTCGACTGTACCAGAAATAATTTATTAAAACACTTGACATTGCACTAAGGTGTAGTGCCTGCTGGACATGAAGCTCGCAGCGACTATACTTGAATATCAGCAAATTGTTTTACAATTCATGCACTCACGTCGGAATGTCACCAATGACGATTAATCGTGTGCAACTGTAAACAAATCGTTGTTGTACTGTACATTTACACAACAACGTTTCATTTGAAATTAAACGTTGTGTTAATTTATTTTTATTGGTCTTTTCCTCATTTTACTACAAAAAAGTAGGGCAAGTGAATATTGCTATAGGGCAAGTGATTTTCAGTTTTACTTGCCGTACAGGGCAAGTGGACTTTCAAAGTTAATGTAGAGCCCTGTATAACTGTTAAAATTGTATACTTTTTGCAGGATAGCAGAGGTGGAAAAAATGCTGATAGCTGCGATGGAGAGCACGACTATGGGATGTCGTACCGAAGGTTTCAGGGCACTCGAAAACTCGATTGTCCTGCAACAATTCAGATTCGAGGAATTCGGGTTTTTGACAGTTATTCACTGGACAAAACATCTTGCACCACTCCCTACAGTCTGAAAACCACCAAACAGAAAATGCTGGACCGGCTGATAGAAGACTTGGAAACTCAAACCCCTCCGTCATCCACGTTGAGGTACTTCATCAGAGTTCCCTTGTTCTCACAGCACAAGGGTCATCCAGTGGGAGCAGCAGCTACTGTTAACCAACTCGTAGACAATAAGGTTGTAGCCAAGATCTACGAGCTGGTTGGAAAGGGCATAACTAGAGCAGACGAAGTCAAGCGTTGCCTTGACGAGTTTGTTGAAAGAGAGCTCTTTCCGACCTCAGCTGTTCGCCCTAAGAGGACGAATCGTGCCTACTATCCTAATAGAAAGGATTTACAAAACCACATTGGCAGGGCTATTTCTGCCTCTCGTTACTCTCACGATGACCAAGAGTCCCTAAAGAAGAAAGTAGAAGAGTGGCAAGCAAGTGGATCCACTGCCAATTTCTTCTACAGGACCAAGTCAGCCGTTACGGAAGGAGAGTCGGGTAAAGATGGGGGCAACGACGGAAGCGGAAAAGACAACTTTCTTTTCGTACACCAAGAAGAGTGGCAGCAAAGACTGCTGTGCCGGTATGGCTCTGAGTTGGTATTAATGGACGCCACATACAAAACGACCAAATATTCTCTGCCTCTCTTTTTTGTGTGCGTTCATACAAATGTCGGCTACAGAGTCGTGGCAGAATTCATCTCTGAACATGAAGATTCACATTCAATTGCGGAGGCACTGGAAATCCTGAAAAGGTGGAACCCTTGGTGGAAGCCTCTCTATTTTATGGTAGATTATTCTACCGCTGAGATCAATGCAATTGAAAGAGAGTTTCCCGGTGCAATGGTCTATATTTGCGACTTCCATCGCCTTCAAGCTTGGAAGCGGTGGATACCAAAGAACGGCCTGAATGCACTGGAACAGGCAGCCCTTTTGTCATTACTTAAAAGAGTTGCTGATGCCCGCCAACGCCACCAACATGACACTGCCGTCAGCGATTTACGCAGGTCCCCTGTCTACACCTCCAGTGAAGCAACCAGAACCTATGTGGAGAAGGTCTGGATGTCTTGCGTAGAACGCTGGGCGCAAGCATTCCGAAAACAACAGGTTCTCAACATTGTAAACACCAATAATGGAGTAGAAGCTCAAAACAAACTTTTTAAGTACAGCTACCTACCAAAATCTGTAGACAAGTCTGCATATGGCATTGTAGTTTTGCTTGTGGAGAGCTTCTTGCCAGACTCGTATAAAAATTATTGTGATATGAATCTAAAACAGAGTAGCCAATACCGACGCATCACCAACTTGCCAGGCTACCTTCATAATCGCCCCAGGCACTTTGTGAAAAACTGCCTAAAGAGTCGGGTTGCTGCTGGGGAATTCGAAGTGCAAGACATCCAGTGCGTCGATATTTCTAAGGGGGAATTTAGAGTAAAAGCCTCCAATGACGCAGGGCGCTTATACAGTGTTACCTTCCAGGCTCCCTCCTGTACATGTGAGGCCTGGTATAAAACGTACTTTCCCTGTAAGCACATGTATGCTGTGTTTAAAGTGTTTGACGAGTGGAGCTTTGCACGCCTACCCGAGAAGTACAGGAACAGTGTGTTCATCACTCTAGACGACTATGCCTTCGGAATAGCAGCCAGCAGTGATGACAACTACGACAGTGTAACCATTGACCAGCCTGTTATCATACACTGTTAGCTGTACCGAAATGACAGAGAATGGCAGAGTGCAGAACAGTGTGTTCGTCATTCTAGACGACAATGGCTTCGGAATAGCAGCCAGCAGTGGGTGACAACTACGACAGTGTAACCTTGACCAGCCTGTTAGCACTGTTAGCTGTACCAAAATACAGAGAATGCTGCCGGGCCTAGTACCTTGACAAGATCGTCTACAAGCCTACGCAGCCAGTTTCTTCAGAAGCTGAATCTAGTGCGGGATATCGTTTATCGCGTAGATGATGAGGCGTGCTTGCAGGACGCAATAGTCAAGATGGGCGAACTTCAACGAAATCTTCGCGGCAAACAGCTCTACGACAAGGCCTTCCCTTGCGGCTTAGCCCCGTGAAGAAAGCGACGACGAGATTAAAATTAGCTAAGGCTAAAGCAGAGCATATAAATCCCTATTATATATATATATATGTTGATTTATATGCTTTTGGGCTAAGTATAGACCTTGTGCAGTGGCGTCATAAGACGCATCACGTTTAAGACTGAATGACTAGTGCTGCCACGTAGCGGCACCCTCCCTCTACGCCTTGTGCAGTGACGTCATGAGACCTCATCACCGTGACCCTCCCTCTCACGCCGGGGGAAAGTGACACCCTAGTGTGTGTTTATACATTTTTATACCATAATAGTACAGTGATATATCTATGATGCCATAGATATTCTATAATATCTATGATTATACATGTTACATGTATATTTATTTGCTATGGAATTTTAAATGGATTTTTATTCGTACGGTATTGTTTCTGATGAATCTTTGTTTTGTGTGAATGTGACATGTGACATGATGTGTCTCAAGAGCTTACAGTTGGAAAACAGTGCCAGTCTAGGAAATATGTTACGCTCGCCGCCCAAGGAGATAGTAATTAGTATACCATAGCCAGGCATAGGCATATGTACGGCGTGATCATGTCTCCGCGCATAAGATTCGAGAAACGATGTCCATTCTAAAACACCTGTGTAGGAACCTCAAGATGTGTAACAAGATGTTAGTCTCACTGCTGCCTGGTCCGCGCTAGTCGGTCATCTCTCGCTCTAACACCCTTTAGTTTAAGCTTAGGCACCTAAAATTGTATTAGTGACATTTTACCAATACTATTCTGTTAAATTCTCAATTCATATTCAAATCCAAAACTATCTCGATCAGTTTCTAATTTTATTGTTAGATAACCAGGTCATCATTTTTAAAGTGAATTGATAACAAGTGCTGCAATTTATATGACCTTCAATCTCACCCTTAAGGATACTCAAGGTTTTAAGCAAATTTTACCGATTTTTTATTTTCGACTTTATTCGATGGCTAAACACTGTGTATATTGCTCATTTTCTCATATAACAACAGCGTACATGCTGAACTTTAGAGCGTTTGCATTGCCCGCGTATGTAACAATATCTTGTCATAAATTATTAAGACGGAAATCCAATTTAACATAGCCATTTATGTTTACGTTCTACTCATCCACACCGCAGGCTAGTATGGTTCCCGCCTCGCCACGAACCCCCAGTGCTCATGCTGGCACGTGCTGCACTTCCGAGTACCAATGGCACTATGTTAGTAACATGATATTGACATCCCCTTTCTTTTAGAAGCATTAGAGACCGTCTGTATTGGATCAAAGGCTGAGAGTAAGCCACTACTGATACCGCTATTTATGAGGTGCATTTCAGTGAATTAAATTCGCGTTGATTGTCTGGCTTGTTCTGCGACGGAAGAATATAGTGCGGATTTTTACGTTATACAGGATGTAACGACTTCTATAAAACCATTAACCATAATGGGTATGAACAGAGTAACTCACTATATAACATACAAGAACATAACACAACAGTATACATTAACACAAAATGAACTACTCAATGTCATTTGAATAGGACTCAAAATCATTTTTACATGTCAAACCCTTTGGTGGAATGTTGGTTGTTGTATATACTCTAGTTGGTGTATAGCATCATGGTAGGAAAAGCCATCACTGTGCCGAAATTGGAGAGTCACAGGTCAATGGGGCATAGGGCAGACTTTTAGACATTTTCTGAGGACATGGTCTGACGAGCGATTGGAAAACTTTTTCTGTTTCAGCCGGTGACCTAGCATTTTTATGCTTTATTGAAAGGACCATGAAAGTACTTCTGCTGACATGCGAAGAGTAAGTGTTGGATAAACTTTTGGCCTCAAGAGGAGGGTTAAACATGGATTTGTTTACTGTTAGAAAGAATTTGCAATGCCGGGTTTCTAGTAGAATCTTATCATGCCTGGATGTATGAGGCTACACGTGTCACAGTGAATTTCAAAAGTAAATTTGGTTGAAGAAGGTTTATGCTCCTTAAATCGTATATAATTTCTATGGCATTCTGTACTGTCAGGTGTTTACATGTAACTTATGCCATGCAGTGGCCACTGCAGTTCGCATTTGTGGTCGATAGACTGTTGTAGTTTTCCTGCGTTAATTAGTTACAGGTGGCAGCTCTATTTCAGCCTGTTGGCTTGCGTAGTAATGGGATGAGTGCTTACTATTCCGTCCTTGCAAAAGTTGTTGCTACAAACGTACGATGGAGAGCTTCCATCTTTAATCTTAAGACACTTAAACGTACACGCACCATCTGCGGGCAACTTTCATAACGATCCAACGAACATTCCTTGAGAAGGTTCCTGATCATCCCTGTGCCTTCCACTGTTTCAGCGCGTATGTAAACACATTTGGGACTAACAGGGTTTACTAGAATCCCACCACTCCACCACAGAGTCACCGCAGTAGACGTTAGATGAGCGCTGTCGCTCTGCGGCACTTATTTATATTTTCATTATTTTTGCCATAATAAAATTATTAGAAATTGCCAATGAATACTAAATGGTGAATAAACTAGAGAGTTCTAAGAGTATAATACATGCACAGTCGCTTGAGAAACATTGGTGAGTAACACCAGAGCATATAAATCAGTATTGCGATATATAGAGTATGATAATCAACGCGTTTTATGTACTATTAATCAGCATATAGAGGGGACCATGTAGTTGGCGACAACTGCTGCGTTTTTAGTTTGCTCTGGATTTATATGCTCTGGGTATAAGGCGCGCCGCACCGCAGCACGGAGGGTGTTATTTTTTCAGTTTAGGTTTAGGTAGGAAGAAGAAGAAAGCATATTAGGTCCCGGGAGATAGAAGAGAGAATAGGAGCACGTGTTTTCAGGTAGTAGAACTACGGGTACAGGGAATAAAACGGGAAGGAAAGAAGGCGGGAATTTCAGGTCGGTAGAGCTGCAGGACGACTACGAGGGAGACACCCTTGGAGGCCTACCTAAGTCTACGCGAAGAAAGGACGACGGGGAGAAGGGAAGACGAAGCCGGCGACGCGTTAATTCTTTAATATTAGTCTAGTGGTTAGTTAAACCAGCGTAACAGCGCTTCACCCTGCACTGATAAGCCTCGTCTACACGACGAAATTTAACTCGAGTTAAGTAACTCGAGTTAGCTTAACCTCGCAGTCGATCGAGGTTAAGCTAACTGCGTCATCGATTAAGGCCCGGTATAGACGCTATGCTCTTTAACTCGAGTTAGCGAATAGTACATAACTCCACGATAGGCGGCACACATTAGTACGATTACGTACACACGCACGCACACACACGCACACACGTGTACTTGCACAAGCACGCACACACTCATGCTCGCACGTGTACCTGCACAACGCACGCACGAACGTGTACCTGCACACACACGCCACGCACGCACGTGTACGTGCAACACACGGACGCATGCACGCACGCTGTACGTACACACGCAAGCACCACGTGTACGTGCACACGGCACGCACACACTCATGCACGTGTACGTGCACACGCCACGGGCGCACGCACGCTCCTACGTGTACATGCACACGCGCGCACACACCCAGCGCACGTGTACGTGCACACACACGGACGCAGCACGCAACACACTCATGCACGCACGCACGGTGTACGTGAACACGCACGCATGCATCGACGCAGGTGTACGTGCACAACGCAGTCACGCACGGACGCACGTCTACGTGCACATCGATGCACGCGCACGTACGCACTACGATGCACACACGTGTACCTGGCCACTACGCACGCTATCGGGTGTTGTCGTGTAGACGCTACATAATCGCTAACTCGATGTTAAATTTCGTTCGTGTAGACGAGGCATAATAGCAATAACGCGCGAACCAGCATAATCTATAACGCAAGCTAAGTAGGTAAGCTACATATACGAGATAGATACAGATCAGCGCATCTACAATGCAGGGGAATTATTTGTAAGCTAGTAAGAACAAAACTATAACCGTACAATAACGAATATAACTGTGTTCTGTTTCACTGGTACAACCATGTGATGTGTAACTGAAAAATCACGTTCCAG